CACAAACAAAAATAGTTTTTGTTTTAATGCTATGTCATAGCTTAACGTCTATGTATTATACCACTATTTCTAAGTTTCATTAATAACAGAAATAAAGAAGACCATATTATTACAGCTAAATTTTCTAATCTTATACATATAATATTCATTATAATACTTGCAAAAAGCCAATAATATGATATGCATTTATAACAAAAGGAGTATGAATCATCCTTCTACGGTGAAAGAGGCAGCAATACCCTGCAGGATGCATTTCTGCCAGCAAGGCTGCTGTTTCTCTGGACTGTCAGGCCCTATGCTCCTCACTAGCGCCCCACCCCACTGATTTGCCTTCACCCTCTGTAGTTTGCTTCTCTGTCCCATACCTGCTACATACCTCTTCAGCTCCCTCTTTTTTGTATAGCTTGAGCAATTGATAACTATCTCTTCCCACTGGAAGGAGAAACTAATGGTAACTTCAGCATTTTTTATGGTACTTTGTATGGTACCAGGGCTCCCAGAGTCCCATTTCTGTGAGCAGAGGGGAAGCCAGTAAGACCAAGCACTTCAGCTTCCAGACTGAGCAGCAGTCACAAAGCAGGACTGACAAACAGCTGTGTGAGGGGAGCACAGACTCCAGCATTGCTGCTCTGACAAACCTGTCTCTGTCAGGCTGCAGGTAGATCATACACAAGAATACTTTTGCCAATTCAGGGTGCACTGCTGCAGGGACAGACACCTAACTAGTACTCTGCATAAAATTCCACCAGCATTGGTAACAAATCACTTCACTTGTTACCTCCTTATATTTTGCTTTTGTTTCCAGCAATTTGTATCTGCTTCTTTCAGACACTGGTACAGCACCAGCCAGTTCAGGTTTTGTGTGTATCCTAATATCTTTTTTCTTTTCTTATAATCTTTGCATAATCAGAGCAGAAAAATTAGCTCCAAAAAAGCCCAGCTATGCTCTCCAAAGCTGTGCAAACACTGTGTTTAAGAGCCAGAAAGATGACACAGTACAAAATGAGTGGCTCAAAGCCAGTAACAGGGTGATTAAAAAATTTACAGCAGCTACAGTTATCTGCCTGTATTCAGGATCAATTTTGATTTGATCACAGAAATAAAAATCTGAAATGCAGTGAAATTGCACAGTCTAGCTTGAGATGCCTATTCTGGAAAAGCACCCTGTGTACTGCAAGTGGTTTGTAGGATGCTCTTGCCACCTGTGTGAGCTGGGCTTTGCAAAGTGGAGTACTGGTATCTAGGGGCTGTCTGATCTCTGTATTTCTTTTGGAAGGGGAACAAGGTGGCTCCTGCAGTGCACAAATGGAGGGCCTTACAGCAGGGACAGTGACCCTACCTAGGCTCCTGGTAGAAGTCTCCTCTGCAAGCCCTCTGGGCAGATTGAAAACAGCTGTGTTAACACACCTTAATGAGCACCATCTCCTACTGTTTTGCCATTTCCCTCCATCGAGAAAACCAGGGAATGTAAAAACCAAATGCTTTCACGACTATGGCATCTTGTGTGCCTCCCACAATGCCAGCACCTGAAAATGCACTGCAGCAAGCTGACAGCACTCCCACCGACCACTGCACTGTTGGGAGGGGACAGAGTCCAGCAGGTACAGGAGCCTTTGCTTGCTCAGCCTGGGGACTGAGTCCATTGCCAGCACATTGAGAGATACAGAGTGCTCTCCAGGTTTATGGGGAGTTAGAAGCACCAGTGAGCTACAGGCCCAACAGCCACAATGAAAGACTTGTAACTCCTGTTACAGATGCTGAGAGGAATGTTCCACAAAGTGTGAGTGTTACTGATTCCTGAGTACAGGCACAGTGAAAGAAAACATCTTGTCCAGACTTGTGTCTGTTTACATCCAGGTAAATATTATCCAGGTAAGGGCATATCCTGTGTTTGACTTATGACTTCAGAGACTTGAGCTGTTGCATGATATGTCACAGCAGCTGTCCTCCAACGGCCTTGGAGCCACTGGGACAGTGACCAGCCAATGGGGGTGGGGTGGCTTTATGCGATGACACTGAGAGCTTGAAGTGGATGGTGTGGGCAGCATCAGCACTTCCTTCTCACAAGAACAAGACAGGCCAGCCTTCTCATGACTGAATTGGAGCCCCAATGATGGAAACCTACCATCTGCTGACTAATCTATTCCTGCAACAACTGCTCATCTCCTTATAAAATGGTGGACCCGGAGTGTGTTTGAGAAACATTGAGGGTGCCTAAAATACATCCCTTTTGTGTCAAGCTAAGCTCTGTTTCCTGACCACGCCAACAGTAGATAGAGTGAACAAAATATTTACCTGCTCTTGACAGCAGATTTTTACAAGTTTGCAAGTTGTCTAGACACCTCTCTATTAACAAGCTTGCAAGCTGTTAACAGATGCTTGTTATTTCAAATGAGATGTCTGTGGTCAATTTTTTTCTCATAGGTTGTATTTCTAGAGATTTCTTTTGCTTTCTTCTGAATCCCCTCCAGCTGATCCACCTGCCTCTGGAAACACAGTGTTCAAGACTGAGGCCAAGTCAGTGGGGGTGGGCTGAAGTGGGGGGCAGAGGAATTTCTTCACACGTCCTGTATGCGACATTCCTGTTCATACACCCTAGGAATGTTAGTTTTTTCGCAATAGGATGACATTGTGGACTTGAGTTCAGTTTGTCACTCACAATAACCTCCAGTTCTTTTCTACATTACTGCTCTATCGTCATCATGCTGCACTCATTGTCCCTGTGATTATTTATTTATGTGGGACAGTCAATAAATCTGGTTGTGGTGTAGAGCAGTGATTGTGCTCCAGCTCCCAGCTGCCTCAGACTGGAGAAATACGAGGCAGTTCATGACTTGCTCCTACCACTTTACCCTCCAAGTTCCCAGGGAGGGCACTGAACCAGGTCCGAGCTCTTGGTCCATGGCAAGCCAAACCAGGCCCATCACTCCCTTAGCATAGCAGTGATTACCAGAAGTAGCCAGAAACAAAGAAACCAAAAATTATAATAATAAATAATTACAAAGAGAAGGCAAAACAGTGGTGAAGATTAATACTGGTATTCTCAGCTTCTATTCTGCTGACTGGTATTTAAAAAAAATATTTCTTATATAAAGAAAGCTTTATCTCAGTTTGTTGGATGACCAGCTGCAGCACTCTGCATAAGAAACACTTATTTCACCCCTTCTTGTGACTCGTGATTATTTGACTTAGTTCCTCATGTCCCTTTCATGTCAGTTAAAAGCTCTACTAAGGAAAATGGCACTGTGCAGGACCCTAAAAGTTCACAAAGGGTTGCTAGAACTTTTAAACCCATCCAGCAAGGAGGCCTGCTTTCTGACACATCAACATGAGTGATACAACATATTCAGATGGAAAGGTGTGTGCAACAGTCTCACTGCTGAGCACCTTCATTATCTCCAGAGTCGTCGTCCTAAGCTCCCTATGGAATCTCCATTTTCTAGCTTAGCACACAATTTCTGTCCCCTCTATTTAAACCGGGCATTGAAACAATAGCTCCTTTTTCTTCCTCTCTTACCTCAACCTAAGTAAATTTTAAGATGCATTTTCAGATCTCCAGTCCTTTCTGGAATCAGGTAAAGTGTTGAGGAGACTGTTTTCTCACAGTGCTGAGGGGCAGTTAATAGGCTTTTCACCATATAAGTCTATAGGGTTATTGCTGTTTCTCCTGTAGAGAAAGAAGGGTGAAACACTCTTACTGTTGCCACCGGTCTTACAGATGGAAAAAATGTATTTCTGCATCTTAGAGACAAATTTGGACCTCTCAGGACACATATTCAGGTACTGTGTCTGAGACCTTACAGTGTAACTGTTTTCCCAAAAATGTGTTAATGTGTTTTCCTAAATGTAATGAAAATACTTTTTTTTTTTTTTTTCCTGTAAAAGCAAAGAGCTTTTACAGGCAGTGTTTGGTCAAACTCTTGAATAAAAGCATTTTCTCTGAATGTGGAGTTTTCTGTATTTCCAAATTGTCCTGCTGTTTACTTTTCTCCCTTTCCTGAATCAGCTCTGCCCTTACCAGCCCTGAGAATTGCTGACACTTGTGCATGGGTGAGATCCTGGACACCTGACTTCCCTCCAGCCACTACTAATAACCGCAGGAGTAACTTGTCACCTCCTCTGCTGGCAGGTGATGGCTGCTGTGCTAAGAGGTCTGCCAGGATGGGAGGACAGACAAGCAGCAGGACATTATCGTCAGTAAAAGGGTCCCATCATATAGTCTGAAGTGGCCTTTGGCAAAAAAAACACATAAAGGGTCTATTTGGTTGTGTATGGCTAAGTACAAGGTAATGTATCTAAAGAAAATTACCTGAAAGTGGTCTGCCAAGGGCTGAACTGGAGTCTGCACTGCAGAACAGATTCCAAGGTGTTAGTGACTGTATCTGGAAACACCGGCTCTGTGCTGGGGCAGTTGGAGAAGCAACAAAATGCTGTGCATTGCCAGGACAAGACAGAGACAGCTGTTTTGCTGTGATGTAAGCTGCTGGTGCACTTATGTCTTGAGTGCCGCATGGAGGTGCAGTCAATGCTTCACAGGATGGCTTTAGGGGAGTTAGGGCAGGCCCAGAGACTGGGAGTGGGGTTGCATAAGGGAATAGAGAGGCATGGACAAAGTTTACAGAGGCACGAGGTGGCAGGAAAGCTTAATAAACAACACTCACCAAAACTCACAGCACAGGAAAAAGTAGAACTTGTACAATTGTGAAAATTTAATTAGTCAAATTTAGTTATATTAGTAACTAAAAACTAAGTTTTGTATTAGTTTCCAGTGGGTACTAACAAGCATGTTCTGTGGCAGCGGGGGAACCTCGAGAGGTTATCGCCACAAGGGGCTGCGGGGTGTCGCAGTGGAAGCGAAGGGGACCGGGCACACGCCAACAGCTGGTCAACCGTGCGCAGGTGCCGGAACACCGCGCACCTGCAGACGGGGAAGGGCCTGGCCGGGCCGGAGCTTCCACCACTTTAGAGAAGCGCCGGCGGGGCTGAGGCGAGCGGACGAGATGGAGTTCACCGCGCCGGCAGCACCCCGGGGCGGCCCGGCCCGGCCCCCCGTACCCAGCCTCGGCGGAGCGGGGCCGCGCCGGGCCATGGCGGAGCTTGGCTGGCCCCGTGCCGCCCGTGGGGGACGCGCCGGGGCGGGCGGGCGGTGAGGGCAGCGGGGGTTAAGGGCAGCGGGCGGTGAGGGGGGAGCGGGCGATCAAGGCGGGGATCGGGCGGGCGGCCGCGATAGGTCCGGCTCGGGGCCGGGGCTGAGCGGATCGGACTAGCAGCGGCGAGGGGCCTGGGGACGCTTCACTGCCTTCATCTCTCCTTAGCGCCCTACCCGGACCAGAGGCAGAGGGGCCGCGGGGAAGCCGCGCTGTGCCGGGGTCGCCGGAGCGCCGCCGCTGCCTGTACCTGCACACGGGCCGGGGTGAGCGCGGCCTGCGGGAGCCGCTCCCTCCGTCCTGCGGAGCGCAGCCGTCTGGCCCGGCTCCCTCTCGGGTGCTGCTCTGTGGCCGCAGACTCACCTCGGCTTCCCCTCCAGCCTGCTGCCAGGTGGTGGAGGTCCTGCTCGCCGCCCTGATCCTGGTCTGCAGCTCCGTGTCCTGTGGCTCGGCGGGAGGATACACCGGCCTCCCCGCCCTGGGGGGCATCTACTACTACCAGTACGGCGGGGCCTACAGCGGCTTCAGCGGAGCGGATGGGGAGCGAGCCCAGCAGCTCGACCAACATTTCTACCTACTGAAGCTGCCCACTGCAAGGGCAGCGATGGCCGTGGGAGGGTGTCTCCTGGTCTTCCCTTGTGTTCTTATTTTGGTTGGCGTTCTGCGGGTCTCGTGGCACTTCCCAGCATGGCTGCTAATTGAATGTGCCCTGTACATAGTGACTGCAGTTGGCACAGTGCCTGCACTGTACTTTTTCCTCCATTCTCTGCTGAGCGTTTATAATTCACCAGTGTGCAAAGAGAGAGAGCAGCTCTATCAAAGCAAAGGCTATCAGGGCTTCTGGTGCAGCCTGCATGGGGCAGAGATTGCTGCTGGCCTCTTGGGTTGCATGGCTGCTATGGCGTACCTGCTCAGTGCAGGCCTAGCTGTCAGAGATTACAGGACAGTTCATGAACAGAAACAGAAGCCAGTGCACCTATAGGAACTTCCAAATGATTCCTCTACTCCAGTAATGGTCTTGATTTTTGCCAGTCTCCTTACTGAGATGAAGTAGTATGCTTTCCTTTCTTCTGGACAGTGCAGCCTTAATGCTACAGAACGCTCACCAAGTTGGCATAGATGTAAATATGGTAGAGTCAGGCCATTCCTAACTTGAATTTGCATTATTGAATTATTAGTGGCTCAAAGTTGATGCAATGGGTTGTCTCCTTCACAGGCAGCCCTTCCATCCCACTCTCAGGTGTCCACTTCTCCAGTGAGGCCTTGCTACAAGTACTGCTACTACATGCTTCTGCCAATGAACAGCTTTTTGTAGCTGAAACTGTGTTTACAAAAGGCATATGACTTTGCTGAGAAAAGAGCTCTTAAAAACAAGTGATCGAGGCCCATGGTTGTGACAGATAAATATTGCTTCCTGGTAGGTCTCTTGGAATTAACAGACCAGTGTGAACATGACATTTATAAGGCCATGAAAAAATCCTGAAAAACCTTGCAAACTCAGTCTAACTTGTGGTACAGTGACTTTTTAAACTCCTGGAGAGGGCACATTTGAAATATGAAATGATCTTTTTATATAACATATATACAAGAGTTTTGCTTAGAAAGATGCCCTGAATTGGAAAAATCAGACAAAAACTTCATGAGATCAAATGGGTGATTGAATATAGAAGTATATTGTTTTCGAAACACATTTTCAATGTACAAGTTGGAGAAATACTTTTTTTAAAAAAAAAAACCAAAACTTTTATAGGAAATTTAACTGGGAAAAGTAGCACTAGAATCACCAACTCATGCGCCAAAATGAAATACCACTTCAGAGCAGTGTCCATTATGTGCATTGTTCATATGGTGATGGAACCACCACAGTCTCACGAATGAGTTCTGTCCATATTACAAAAACTAAACATAACAGAAACATGCTTTGCCTTGGACATAGCTCTTCTTTCACTGGCATCAGTGACTAAATCCTCAAAATTACCAAAACCATGGAACACTATCAGAACTAGAGACATTCAAGTAAAACAGATGCCAAATAGGAACACACTAGGTGCTTTGGGGTTTGTTTGATTTCTCTTGCTTTTTAGTATCGAGTGTCTCAGCACAGGGATTTACATGGACAGTCCATTGTGGTCCTGTTTCTGTTAACATTTCTGTATTTCCCCTTGCTGCAACTACTTCTAGAACTATAGAGAGCAAGTTCATAGGGCAGAATTCCTCTAGCAGGAAACAGAAATCTGGCTTAATTGGTAAGCCTAATTCTACCCTCACAGTGTTCTGAAAGAAGTTTTTATATGAAAGGCTGATGAGTGAAGTAGCACATAGAGCTCAGTGAATAACCTGCAGCACAGCTGCTGCTAGGAACAGCTATCTTTGACTGGGATATTGCAGAGACTTCTTCCAGCACAGTAACAGAATCAGAATAAGCTGTTAGATAAAAGTAAAAATCTTTATTGCTAAGTCAGCTGAAAATTCAATGCAAAAATACTCTTCCTTCCTGAACTTTTCTATACATCTGAATAAAGAATCAATGGACTAGTATTTTCCAATAGTCTTACATTATTTGCCTTTCCAAAGCAATACATAGTGCTGAGGATGCATTCATTAGACAACCAACGCCCATACACAATAAAAACAGGGATTGTTATAGGTGCATGCTAGAGTGGGATACAGAAAATATATCTTTTTAAAAAACAACAAAAAAAAAAGGCATGAAAAAGGATTATTTAGTAAACAGTTGGTACACTGCAGTATTTAACATGCGCCAGGTCACATGAATCATTAAAAAAAGGTAACGTTTTAAAGTGTGAAAAAAGAGGAAAAATACAGTTAAGTCTTCAGAGAGCAATAGAACAGCAGACAATGATTGCACGAGACCAAAGAGGTGATCTGCCTGAAGAAAGGCCTTTGGCAAGTAACGCAAAAGCCACCAGCATCTATCTGGAAAGAGTGCAGAAACCCCACAGGTCCAAAGCCTTAGGTGTGGCTGAAGGTCCTGTGTACCATGGGAAAGATTTCAGACTTCACAGCAGCTTGTCCCCAAGAGAGGGAAATACTTCCTCTTTCTTGGAACAGGATGTTATCCTCCTGTCTAACTGAAGATTCTGGTCTGGTATGAACAGTCTGTGATGCTGTCTCCATTGGGCATGTTTCTTGTTCTGAGAGCAACTTGGAGGCTATCTCTTACCTTAACACCTGGGCCCCAGCTACCCACCACTCAATATAACCTTTATGGGTTCCTTTTATAGAAACCTTTCTGGAGAGGAGAGGAGAGGACAGGACAGGACAGAGCAGTGCCTCCAGAGTACCTTTCTCAGCAAACATGCTTATCAGCAGATCCAGAATTACTGAAGAGATGGACCAATGAACTCAGCCCCACATGGCTGTGGCTGCATGCAGTGTGGCAGGACTTGCGTTGCGTAGCAGGGACAAAACAGCCTGAGGACCTCAAGGTGAGAACCTCTCTCTAACAGCAAGTCTGCAAATGACTGGGACATTCTCAGTGATGTGATTATGTGATGATCACATAGTGTCTCAGGGAAGGGATTGGAGAACAGCAGGGTAACTGGGAAGACACTTCCTATACACCCTGCTATGAGTCATTCAGTTGACTCACTCAAACCTATTCCACCTACAGGAGTGCTCCTTGGGAGTTTGAAATCTAATGTAGTGTTAATAAATAAGGTAGGGGAGACACAGAGGGAGGCAGGAAAACTAAAGGTAGTGGAGGGAAGCACTGTTCTATGAGTTGTCCTCACCAGACAGATGAAGATAACCCAGCCATATCACTGTCTGACCAATGTCAGAAAAAAACCCATTTCTTTGGATAACAGTGAGCCTGAAACATGTCTCAGCAGTTGCAATCTTGTGTTAGGAAATCCAAGACATTTGCATGAAAAAATGATGCCAGTGTCTTTGCTGACACCCAAAACTGGCCTAGGAAAAAGCAGCATTTTTTGTGATGAACAGGCACTGTTTTTAATGCATGAAAAAGATTTTGGATGACTGGAGGAAAAGCATCACAATGCCATGGCAGAAATGGTAAAGGAGAAGTTTAATCCTCAGAAGAAGCACATGGAAAATATGCAGAAGCTGCTTGAGGACACCAGTGCTTGTCTTAGTCAAATAGAGGAAGATTATTTGGAACAGGTAAAATCAACTCAGCCTGTGCTGCCCAGAGTTCATAATACCAGCTTCAGAGAAATCTGTGGATTCTGCCTCGAGTGTAAGATAACAAGCCATGTCTTCCATGACAGTTCATACCCAGAGAAAATAGGAGCTGGCTGTATTTAAACCCTCTTTCTGCTTCAAAACCAGAAACAGCACTGGAGAAGTCTAAGTAGGAATTCCTGCTGTTCCATTCTGCCACTAACTTTTAAGAGGTGCAGCTCAGAAATCTGCATGCTCCATTGCAGAGCTGTGTTTTCCTTAGTCCTTCAACACTGAGCTAGGTAGAGCCATTCATTACTAACTCTTTGTGGCAATTCTGCACACAATACCACTGGTTCAGACTGGCAAGGACACACTGGACTTTCCAAATCAGTGCAAGAATTTGAGACCTGATTTGCATTCACATGTGCCACTTGGAGTGCAGGGTTTGTCAGTTTTACTCAGAAATGAGGTTTCTGCATCAGTCCCATACTGAACGGGGGACTGTTCTACAGCCCTTTCAGACAACAGAAAGTGTGAGGCTAGTCACAGATGTTTGGTAAAATTATCACCAGTGACAGAATCAAAAGTTGCATCCCAAATACATTGGGATGAACCTTTCCTGCATACTTACATGATGATAACATGAAAGAGTTTTGGGGTTTAGCATAAGAATCTTTTCTGCAGTTGTTTCTCTGCCTAAAGGACTCAAATGCTGTTGTTTCTGTAATTTTAAGAATTAGCTTCAACTTCCAGTTCCAAATGAAATAGGTGTTTAAACAACCAAAAATTGTGAGAGTTTAAACTTTAGAAAAAGTTGGGTTGTTTCGTGATTACACTGCAACTAGCACAAAGTATATCCTAAAACGTTGCTCCTCATGCATGATAAAAATACCTTTTTCTCCTAGTGAGAAGAAATTCAAGATGCTCTGAAATCTCACTAAAACTCCATTAGATTTTGTCAAAATATCTATATTGACAGAATTCCACAAATAGTCTGCACAGTATTTCCTTCTGAGCAAGGCCCAAATTTGATCCAAAAACAGACAAAACAAGCCTCTCAGATCTCTTCAAAAGAAACTTTTAAGTTTTCTTCTTAAATATAATTAATGAAGAAAAGGCACTAGCCCACATTACAGTCAGGATTATTGCACCACTGACATGACAGGAACAGGTGCTACCCAGCTTTGTCAGAAAGGAAGACAGATCTGCATACTACAGAGGCAGTGGTCTCCACAACCCTTATACAAGATGACAACATAGGCAGCCAGCTTACACCCTGCACCAAAAGTCCTAATGGAAACACAAGGCATCTGAGTGCAGACTAGCCAGTTCATCATTAGTGGGACTGTTTAAAACATTTTTTTCAGAGCTGATAAAAATGTTAATAAGATGAAAAGTTTAGTTTTTGCTTCTGTGCTGAAAGCTAAGCAGGAACAAGTACACTTTCCCCTTATTTGTGGCCAAATTTGGCACATACTATGAAATGCTGTTTGCTCTGAATTTGAAATATGACTCCGTTTTTCAGAGGCAAGCAAAGATGCTGTAGCTGACAATGGAGAGGTTTATGTTGATGGAAAAGAGCACTGGATGCTTCTGCCAGTCTTAGAGCAGCCCACCACTGTTTACAGCTTGGCTCCTCTGACGGAGCACTGAGACAAGCACAAGCTCCTGGCTTTATCCCATGTCTTCTGGATACAGGAAGCCTCTGCTGTGAAGCGTCCACGATGAAGGTGGCCAGGTTGCTGCTGAGGTCGGTCTGCGCTCTGCAGCTAGAAGCACGAGATCTACACATTACCTTAATCAACCAGTCCTGAGCTGATAATTCCTGTGCTCCATATAAAATGCATTGGTTGGCACCTGCTTATCACTCAGCTATGTATTTTCTCATCCTGCACAGAATGATCCCACTATAACCCTCACTCTCCCCTACATCAGTGCTCATCAGAACACTGGTACCCTGAGACCCCTACTACCCTAAGAACATCCACTGGGAAAAGGCCACAGCATACCTGCTGTGGAGTGCTTTCTTCCCTAACCCTAAATAATAAAGTGCTGGGCTGAAGGGGAAAAGGACAGCTTAAGTGCAATAAATAAAAGTGCTTGCAATTAATGTAGGAAACCATTCTTAAGTCAGCTTCATTGCAACCGGCTGTATTCTTTAAAGAAATAACCAAGTCAGGTGCTGGGGAGGAGGGTGGGACACTGCATCAGAAATATTCACAGGACTCTAAACACTGACCATTTCTCCCTCAGCAGCCTCCTCACTCCAGACACACATACACCAGCCCCTTTTCCTGCAGAGCTGGCAGAACCTCAGGGTTCAAGGACTTACCAGACAGTCCCTAACACAGAGCTCAGCTGCTGATCTGTGTGCTCATAGAACAACTGAGACCCTACAGAGGTTAAGTGGACAGCCCAGACGCTGGCCTTCCTGATTCTTCCTCAACTCCATTAAGGAAGCAGCAGGTGCCTGTACTCCTTGCAGATCCCAGCTCCCTCAGAGGGCAAGACAGCCCTTATGAAACAGAGCTTCCTGGGACAGACAATGTGGGAGTGGTATTTGTAGAGTTTACAAAGCTGTGTCAAACTCCTCTGGCAGGGGTGCTGCATGTTCTTTCAGCTCATGATCTGCTCCGTCCTCCTGGTGTTGCTTCATTTGTTCCTTTACTTCCTCTTCCAGATCAGGTGGGACCACAAATTGATCATCTGGCTCCATCTGGGATGGAGCAGCAAAATAGCCTGTCTTCTTCTTGGGTGCCTCTGTTGCTACTTCAATGAGGTTGAGGCTCTCCTCCAAGGGCACTATGGAGCCATTGGAAAGCTTCTTTCCATAAAGACAACATGTGGAAAGGGATTTTTGGAGTTCACACTTCTCCTTGACCCCTCTCTGCACAGTGTTGCTGTTTACACTGTTCTGCCTCCGAATGATGAGTACAAGACCAGACTCATCCTCTGGCCTTGGAGTAGAAGAGCTGTACTCTGCAGCAGGATGTTCTAATTCCAGACCCTTTCCTTTACAACAGTGGATGTCCACCTCTACCTCTACTTTACTGCCATTTGTCATCACACCTTCCACAGGCTGCTCATCATCACTATCTAGACCATTGTCAGACTGGTTACTAGAGAAAGTGGCACTGGAAGGTTGGCGCTGAAAGATGCTTGGGGGTGGCACCGGATGTAGG